TGAAATAAACTGGTAGTCCCTGAATGCTAAATTTAATCGTATTATTTTGAGAGATAGAACTCTTTAGATATATCTGTCTATACAATTACTAAAAGATTTTAAAATTTGATATTGTGGTATTTATTATTTAAAACGGTTGCAGGGGTGTGTTTTCAAATCATTGATACATCGGGGCTTCGTGAGGAGCTTTCAAAATTCTCCGCTGGAATTAGGATATTGAATGATAAACCTCATCAAAATAGTAATTAACTGAGACTGGGGGGTTTTCGACCCAAAAAAACCCAACCCCAAAATGGGAATTTGAGGTAAAATGGGTTTTTTATGGTTTTTTGGGGTTAGACATCCCCCCCCCCCCCCTCCAGAAACTTATACGAGCTTATTTAATGCAAATAAGTTAGGAGTTGTAATGTACACCGTACAGGACGACTCTACTAACGAACGTGTTGTCATTAAACCCTCAGTCACCTTATTCGGCAACAATTAATGTTAAATTCTATCTTCGGGAGTAGTAAAATGCAACGTTTGATCAACTGTATAAATGTTGGTACTGGTAATGTAGGCCGTGATCCTATGAGTACAATTCTCAAATTATATGACGTATACTCTTCCGACTGCACTGTTACTTCTGTTAGACTATCCGTACACAGTATTCATTAGTCTAACAATGAATGCTCTCAATATGTGTTGTCACTATGTTGTGACTAGGTTGTTACTAGTTTTCTATCTAGGTTGTCTATCTAGGTTGTTACTAGGTTGTTAATATTTTCTATCTAGGTTGTTAACATGAACTCATTTTGCGGCACATACACCTACTCCCGCTCCTTTGTGTAGCTTACATCGTGTTGTACGAGCTACATTTATACTATCAGGATCAGAAAGGACATCTAGTAGAACTGGGAGATCCAGACTCAACAACAACCCCGACTGCTGCCTCAACAGTTGTTAAGGAACACTATTATCTACTAGTGTTAATACTCAGTAACTCAGCTAAAACGCGGCAAGTTTCTAGGGATAACTGGAATAACGAAGCTTATTTCCGTTCACGGAACGTATCTCTCAAGATACTGTACGTAGTAGGTCGGGATCAAACTGACAACCATGTTGAAACTGATATCATAAAAACTAATGTCTCGGAGAGCAAGCCAAACTTAATGTTGAAGGTGAGGGAAGGGTTGAAGGTAGCGATGGAGCGCTACAGTTTCGAATATCTTCTGAAAACAGACACAGACGTATTTCACAATTACACCAGATGGGAAGAGAGAATTAAGGGAACTGTGCGGGAAAACGGGAAACCCTTCTTGTACGGTGGATGCACGTGCGGCAGACACTTGGGTGTTAAATACGGGTGGTGCGCAGGCATGGGCTACATTCTCCACCACGCTATAGCGGAGAAAGTGGTAAATTACCCAGTAGATAAGATGGAGAACGCGGAGGATAGGAACACGGGGAAAGTGATGTGGGAGTGGGGTGTTAAGTGGGGGTTTGGGGGTGGAGGGAGAATTAAGGTGACACTTGCAGACTGTAAGGAAGGTATGTTGAGTGGTATAGTGGCAGTTCATGTGGGGTATAGTTTCAGAAACGTGGAGAGTATGAAACGTTGTTGGGATCAGATCGGGGTGGAGTATGGTTAAAGAAAATAAAAACTCATCTCTTTGAAAACGTATTTGTATAAGTATCATGTATTACCTTTCTCATAAAATCCATACTTCATAAAAATAAGTTCTTATGTACATGTTACTCATGAGTCGCTTTAGATGGTTTAAACTGAATCTTTGGGTTTTGAGTTCTTTATGGCTATAAAGCGATGTATAAATTCCTACTTATTATTATTATTATTAAGGTTGTTGTTGAGAGGGGTGCGAAACTTGGTTGTATTGTGACTCGGACCAAGGAGCTGCTAAGTGTTAAAGCTGTGATTTTATATTTGATATTAATTTTATTTTGTTGGGAGTTCACATTAACGTTACCTCCTGACTAATTTAGAGGGGAGGTAAAGTTAATGTGAACTCCCAACAAAAATAAAAGAACCAGGACCAGGAGGGCTGTACAGACCTGATATGGGATCATAATGGCTACAATTTGAGTTAAAATACTTATTGAGTGGTGGTTATTTGAGGTTTCTGGCATAAGTTTACGTTACCTCCCACCTTTGCATGAGACATGTCTATTAAACAAATTATCTGTAAATATTGTTTGTGATTTAAATCAACGACTGATAAATAAAAATATACCTGTCGTGATAGTCTAAATTATTAAAATATTTATCGAGGATTAAACCGATTAATGATGATAATTATAAGAATAATTTTGTCTGCTCCCAGAAAACGTGACCCCCTCATTGAAATTTATTACGAATGACTCGATAGGAAACTTATTCTATAACATAATATAATATTAATTTATGAGAATTATCGAATATGTCTGACTATTAAATATATTAAAAAATATCATTTAAATCTGAATACTTTGCACAGAAAATGAGAATTAAAATTTCACTGCGGCCACCCACATTATCATCTTAATTCCAAAGTTACGGAAGTGGCAATATCTTCCTGCTACATCAACTGCGGCTTAATAATTTCAGGATTTCTTATTCAGCTGAAAAACAGCATACAGGCTTATTAAGGAACTATTTAGACTATAACATTCACGGCCGCGTCACTACCTGGGACCAGTTACATTATTTTATCATAACTGGCACTAACATCACACACACACATTCTCACACACACACATTCTCACACACACACATTCTCACTCACACACACACACACACACACACTCACACACACTCACACACACTCACACACACACACACACACACACACACACACACACACACACACACACACACTCACACACACACACACACACACACACACACACACACACACACACACACACACACACACACACACACACACACACACACACACACACACACACACACACACACACACTCACACACACACACACACACACACACACTCACACACTCACACACACTCACACACACTCACACACACACACACACACACACACACTCACACACACACACACACACATTCTCACTCACACACACACACACACACACACACACACACACACACACACACACACACACACACACACACACACACACACACACACACACACACACACACACACACACACACACACACACACACACACACACACACACACACACACACACACACACACACAAACACACACACACACACACACACACACACACACACACACACACACACACACACAAACACACACACACACACACACACACACACACACACACACACACACACACTCACACCCACACACACACACACTCCCCAAGTTACTTGGACACAGTCTGGATAATTACAGTTAATTGCCTGCTAATTAGACCTTGAAAACGTGCACTATTGAGCTGTATTGTGTTGTAGGGGTTCCTCTACCTAGCTTTTCAACATACTAAACTTCCAGCCTCTATCCTGCATTACATCTCACATTATCCCTATAACTTTCAGATATGCAGCCAGGATCAGGCCTACTATCCAGTACTTCACTCATATTTACAGGATTAGGTACAGTATTACTAGTAAAAGTGTGAGTATCACACTCTATTTAGCATTAGTACGATGCGCAACTAATTCTAACAGTGATAACACCAACTGTTGCATTAAGTAACATTGTATAACTCTGAAACCCGGCCCAATATTGTAACAAACATCGTCCTGTTGTACTATAACAAGTCTATTTCTAACGACACCACCCCTAAAATTTCTGAGAACTTGCCCCAAAATATTGTATCCCTGACACGTGGCCATGTATTATGTTGTGTTAGGATTGGTGTCGACGTGATATGGCGGTATTGTCTAGTGCAATGAGGAGCTCTAACAGTATATTGACGTCACATATCATGCCGTTTACCACCAAATTAGGCAAAAACAGTGTACCGACTAGCGGCATCTTAAACTGAGGGAAAAGGCGGCGCGGGGGAACAATTTGACACACTTAGCTTATCTCAATTGTAGAGAGAAAACTCCGGCCCCCTAACAAAGACCCTGTAATCTGTTGCTACCCTGTTGCTACCCTGTTGCTACCCACGCTATGCAGAGATGTACAGGTACGCTATATCATAATGCGACCTCCAGCGCGTGTGTGTAAGAACGTCATACATTAAGCTGAATTCTTTACGCCTACTCTACAGTAGCCGACACGTTCAACACCCTGCTGTATCTCTGCCAGTGTAACTACAGGCTGCCAGTAACTACAGGCTGCCAGTAACTACAGGCTGCCAGTGTAACTACAGGCTGCCAGTAACTACAGGCTGCAAGTAACTACAGGCTGCTAGTAACTACAGGCTGCTAGTAACTATGCTGCCAGTGTAACTACAGGCTGCCAGTAACTACAGGCTGCCAGTAACTACAGGCTGCCAGTAACTACAGGCTGCCAGTAACTACAGGCTGCCAGTGTAACTACAGGCTGCCAGTAACTACAGGCTGCCAGTAACTACAGGCTGCCATGAGTAACTACAGGCTGCCAGTAACTACAGGCTGCCAGTAACTACAGGCTGCCATGAGTAACTACAGGCTGCCAGTGTAACTACAGGCTGCCAGTAACTACAGGCTGCCATGAGTAACTACAGGCTGCCAGTAACTACAGGCTGCCAGTAACTACAGGCTGCCAGTAACTACAGGCTGCCAGTGTAACTACAGGCTGCCAGTAACTACAGGCTGCCATGAGTAACTACAGGCTGCTAGTGACTATGCTGCCAGTAACTGCAGGCTGCCATGAGTAACTACAGGCTGCCAGTAACTACAGGCCAATACTTTACGTCGAACTTTCTGCGCAGCAACGTTGTGTTCCGGAGAATTAGTGGGGAGGAAGGCGGGAACACAGAATGGAAATAAAATATACATCAGAAGATACGTGATGACGTCACGTTATTGTGATGACGTCACGTTATTATGATGATGTCACGCGGGTAAACTCACGCTGATAAGGGTTGAGTGGATAAGGTGGTTCAGTTCGCTGACTCCCCCCTGCAAGCTCTTGCTGTTCTGTAAGTCGGATAATAAACTTTGTAACAGACGTGACCACTCTGTAACTCTGGAACTGAAGATGTAAGTGTTAGTGACTGTTTATATTTAATCGCATATAAAATCGCATGTATAATCGCATATATAATCGCATATATAATCGCATATATAATCGCATATATAATCGCATATAACCTGTTAGAAATCTGCTAGAAATATGTCTGTTATTCTCAATACTAGATCCGCGAATCTGATCCATTTCGTGACAATGGTACCAAGATATCCCGCATGGTAATGTTTTAACAGGAAAAACAAACAATTTAGCCGTGGATCTGTTTACGAAGAACAGCCAGTTTGACTTTGTGAGCAGCTGACGAGAAACATTAAACCTGATCACGTGGTTTAAATTAATCACAACCTATAATACGTGGTGGGCCAGAATAAACACAACGTGCAGCCTCACATCTCATCACCGCCTGATGAGATATAACACCGACAGATAATCACACACATCCCGACGAAAAGTTAATTTTGGGTCATCACCCTATATTACAATTCACTGTCTACACACACGTACGCACGTACGCACGTACGTCGTACATTATTATAACGTACTATAATAGTACGTGTTATCTGTATCGAGAGGGAGACTGTGTCATATCCAGAATAATTAATTGTATCCAGACTAATGACCAGGATATGAAAATAAAGAACACAGTCTTCTCCAGAATATCCACCACCACCCTGCTGTTATGGTGACTCATAACCAGGTAACCAGGTAACCAGGTAACCAGGTAACCAGGTAACCAGGTAACCAGGTAACCAGGTAACCAGGTAACCAGGTAACCAGGTTAACAGGTAACCAGGTTAACAGGTAACCAGGTAACCAGGTAACCAGGTAACCAGGTAACCAGGTAACCAGGTAACCAGGTAACCAGGTAACCAGGTAACCAGGTAACCAGGTAACCAGAATATCCACCACCACCACCCTGCTGCTGCGGAGTGGTACTCAACGCGCGCTTATTATAGAGCACAGTACACACACAAACTAGATTTAACCTGACCGCGCCTGGTCCGGCCACAGTCGTCAATATTACGCAGTGGGGTTTATTATAGTATTATACATGTACCACATCAACGGCAAATAGGTACGATGCCAACATATCAACATATCATCATAATATCACGATACGATAGACCAGGATAAACACTGCCCAGCACTGGATATTATATATCTTTACGTGTAGTGTTATAGAACTGGTCACTCAGCCTGGCTTGATGGCTTCAGAAGTATGATAAGTAGAAAACGTTTTGAATTTCCCAGTTTTCAGCCCATATGAGAACAAATGTCCGATATAATAAAGCGTTTAATTTATACTAAACCCTTGAGCCACGATTTACTGGGATGGGGGGTACCAATGGCATAGAATGTCATAAAATGGCATAAATGGCATACGTTTTATGGCATAAATGGACATTTTTTTGGCCAATTCTCCATTGGTAACCCCCCACTGGGATATATAGGTACCTCATTATTATCGGTACAGTAATTCCTAATGTTAGAGCTTGTAATAATGTGCTGTAACAAAGTTACCTGATTTGAAGTACAGGAGCAAGACATCCCTTTTGTACGTTGAGACAGTATTTACTGCACGGCTTTGTGAACCTGATGGAGAGAGGAATAAGAAATACAGCCCTCAACGGAACGTATGCAGTATGCACCATTTCTCATTTCTAAAGATAGATATTTCTGAAGATAGGAGTAACGTTGCAGTAAAAGTTAATAATAATTGATTAATTAAATCTGTACAGTTAATTAATATTTTAATTTTATTAACTTAATTAACGATCAACTAACTGGTAGACGTCGTTAGGATTGCAGAGTGAACAGTAGTTCATCTCCACCAGGGCGTCTACACATGAATCATCTATACGCCACTGTCTTATTGAACCAAACAGAGACCTGGTAATTATTCAATTAGTCAATTAGTTAATTATTTAGGTTTTATTTGTTTCAGTTAGAGCCAAACGTTCGCGGCTATCAACTGAATATTATTATCACTTCTGTAGATTCAACAAAACACGAATAACATAATCTGATTAAAGTCGTGTAGTGTTATACTTATTGAGTCTCATTTGATGATTCTTTTATATTAAGAAAAGTTCTGATTTTTTCTGAATAGACTTAGTGATGACAAATGACAATGTTCTAATTGAGAATAGTCCTTATCTACCTTCATTAGAACAAAGTCATCACTGAGTCTATTAAAGAAAATAAATCAGAACTTTTCTTGAAAGAATCACGAATAAACAATTTTTACACTTGACAGTACCTCCCAAACTTGAGGTTTTCCTTGACCAGCCAGGCGGCGTTCAAAGCGGCTTCTAAATTATCAGCCACCTCGTTTACACACGTGGTACTCTTCAACTTCTTTCTTCCAGACAAACTCTGACAAGGTGAACAGTACATTATCATGTAAAGTACATAATATTATGATAATATAGCACATAAGATAATTGATACAAGGAGCGTATAAAGTTATATAGATTACATAGATAACTGGTAAATATTATGATACAAGGAACACAACGTAATATAAGAGAGTGAAACTTCAGACAGACCAATGTTATAAACAGTTGTTCCAATTTTAGTTATCATTTAATTTTGTAATTATTTGTAATTATGTTCCAATTTTAGTATATTCATATAAATAGTGTAAGTGCCCCCCTGGAGTTATTTTCATAAAAATACCGACTAAAAATAACACTAAATGACCAGCCGGAGTTATTTCTATAAAAACATAAAAATAATAAATAAAGTCCAGGGGAACTGACAGAATGACAGATAGTTCCAATTTTAGTTGGTATTTGTATAAAAATAACTCTGACATAACTCTGACACGTAGTGAGCCCCAAACCCACCACCCGACTCTTCTGGTGACTATCACTAACAAAATAATTCTCACCTCTTTGACGAAATTCTTTATCAGGCGTCTTATATTGACATCTTTGTTTTCGTAGACTTGGTTAAAATAGTGGGTGACGTTCCCGTATACGTTCATCACTCGTTGCTGGAAATAATTAATTAAATAGTTAATTAAATTATTAAATAGCATTAGAAACAATACGAGTAGTTACCACATCATCTGTTAAAAAGACGCTTGCAGTGAATAGTGATGGCAAGGGGGTCCTTACGTTTGCCTTAACATGAACCTAAAACGGCTCATCAAGGATGGAAATTGTTCGCTTTGGCCACATTAACATACAACGGATGAAGCAACATAACGTGCCACTTCTCTTAAGAAGTGCCACTTCTCTTAGCAAGTGCCACTTTAGTGCCACTTCTCTTAACAAATGCCACTTTAGTGCCACTTCTACTTTGAATAGCAGTATTGTAACTGCACTCTATTGTCACACTTAGTGTTAGAGTAATTATTGTTACTGTATACACTTTACATGCTTGCTAGTTCCCAGCAGTTTAAGTCAGATGTGGTCTTGTTTTTACTGAACTTGGCGCGGTTTACTTATTTTCAGGCAGATACTTAGAAGATATGAGTACACGGTACGTACGAGATATGCAAGGTACGAGTTATTGGTTACAAGATATCAGTAGATACAGGGTTATTTAGAGGGAAATGCCTAATGCCCATCAAAAGAAATCGATTAAACCAAATATATAAACGATTTAGATGATAATCTCGTCTTTTTTAAATCGATCTAGGTGGGATGCAAACAAAATCAATCGTCCGCAAGTAATTAATTAATTAATCAAAAATTAAAAATGTAATTTACAAGTGATTGAAAATTGGTGTTCTATCTATAGTTACTGCTTTGTAAAGTAATCACTAAATTGTAATTAGTTTTTTTGTAATTATGTAATTAGTTTTTTGTAATTATCAGCGCGTTTACATACATTTTATGCGTGTTGAATCGTACAACTGCAACTAAATCAGTCCTCCAACTACACCAGGTAGAGTTTAAGTGATAAAGTTAACAAAAGTGGTAACTAGTGGTAACTAGTGGTAACTTGTGGTAATTAGTGGTAACTAGTGGTAACTAGTGGTAACTAGTGGTAACTAGTGGTAAAGTGGTTACTAGTGGTAACTAGTGGTTACTTGGTGGTAACTAGTGGTAACTACCTTGTGGTTGTCAAGGTGTTGGTTAGCAGTAGTGCTGACTGGTAACTGGGTTATGTTGCTGTGGTAACTAGTGGTAACTAATGGTAACTTGGTGTTAACTAGTGGTAACTTGGTGGTAACTAATGGTAACTACCTTGTGGTTGTCAAGGTGTTGGTTAGCAGTAGTGCTGACTGGTAACTGGGTTATGTTGCTGTGGTAACTAGTGGTAAAGTGGTTACTTGGTGGTAACTAGTGGTAACTAGTGGTAACTTGGTGGTAACTAATGGTAACTACCTTGTGGTTGTCAAGGTGTTGGTTAGCAGTAGTGCTGACTGGTAACTGGGTTATGTTGCTGTGGTAACTAGTGGTAAAGTGGTTACTTGGTGGTAACTAGTGGTAACTAGTGGTAACTTGGTGGTAACTAATGGTAACTACCTTGTGGTTGTCAAGGTGTTGGTTAGCAGTAGTGCTGACTGGTAACTGGGTTATGTTGCTGTGGTAACTAGTGGTAAAGTGGTTACTTGGTGGTAACTAGTGGTAACTAGTGGTAACTACCTTGTGGTTGTCAAGGTGTTGGTTAGCAGTAGTGCTGACTGGTAACTGGGTTATGTTGCTGTGGTAACTAGTGGTAACTAGTGGTAACTTGGTGGTAACTAGTGGTAACTTGGTGGTAACTAATGGTAACTACCTTGTGGTTGTCAAGGTGTTGGTTAGCAGTAGTGCTGACTGGTAACTGGGTTAGGTTGCTGTGTAACAAGGAGCAGCTCTGGAGGGATATCCTCGCGTTGTGTAGAATGTACCGCTCTATCGACACTGGAAACAAGGTTATACGGTTTAGAAACAAACAGTAATTATCTAATTATCTAATCATTTATAACAATGTATTATTTATTGTTATTTGTAAAAATACTGATATCAGTACTGAGTAGAAATCAAGAACTTTAAAAATCGTCAAAAAATATGAGTGTCTGGTAAGTTAGGCTATGAAGGTCCTAGAAACGTTTCAGTGAGTGCAAAATGTTCGCGATGACCAATTGACCATGTTTATAATATACAATTTTTGAAGCAATATATTAGGTACCTTAAAAAACGTAATTTTTGAGTTACCGGCGGAAAACAGACAAAATTTATATACAAAATAGAGCAAAATTGGATAAAATATCCATTTCTGCTTTTGCTAATTTCACAAAAGGAAAGTCTGTGCATAATCTCAGAAGTATCAGTAAATCTGCATGTTTGGAGCCGATAATGTGCATCAATGACTGGCCTAATTAATTTCATGTACTTTTATCAATTTCCAGATCTAATTAAACAAACAAATACTTGTTTAGCATGACAAATTACAATGACATTAAGGTAATGCTGTTTAGCAACAATATCAGTATAAATTAACAAGAGTATCACTGCATAGACTGTGATATAGTCATGAGAACCCTATGATGATATCTCACTACATACCCGCATACCATTTATTGTGATAATCCTAAATCCCCCGTAAACAATAACATGGTATAAACGTTACAAATTATATTCCGGACCGAGTCGGAATAAAAATTAGAGAAGGTCGGGGAAGGAATCCAGAAGACCGGAAGTGTGTGATAGTTGAAATGTACCCTCAATATTAGGGCAGATGTGGGAACCGGGAGTCTAGTACGATAATTGGGTATAACTGGGTCTTGTTCCGAGCTGTAGGTTGCAAGCTTGTACCACCAGTGCTGTTCTCTGGTACATAGTAGTGTGGGGTATTATAAAGGGAGGGTGCGACTTTGCGGAATATTCCACATAACTTAGACAAGTAAATATTTGTCACGAAATACGCTATAGTGCTTATATTGAATGTGTAACGTCATTTTCATGGACTCTGTGTGTGAAAATGTGAGAAGCCAGTCCACTAGCGCAGGGCACTAACTTTAGTTTGGCTAACTGCTGACTCTCTATTGTTAACTCTAGTGCTAGGGAGAGTTTTATAAAGTGTGCTAACTCGACTCGACTTACTCGACTTACTCGACTTACTCGACTTACTCGACTTACTCGACTTGTGCTAACTCGACTTGTGCTACTCGACTTGTGCTAACTGCTGACTCTCTATTTCTGCTAAGGCAGGATGTAAAATGGATAGATTTACTGGGGTAGTCGCTGTAATTATATTCGCTACAAAGTCTTATTCTATTACATTTATCCACTATCCAGCATGTTTACATGATAAAGAGAGAAATGTTCTAATCTTGACGCGACGGTCAAGTAATTCTTAGTTTGTGTTGTGAAATTCCAGTTTATTGACTGTGGTACTTTTCACTTTACTTTAACAAATCTTTATACAGTTAGAAATGCACAACACAGGATTACACAGGATTACACAGGATTACACAGGATTTGACGTAAGGGCACGAGACAAAGATATTTGTGTTTTTTAAGTCTTGACGGTCGCATCTTCGGAGACTCAAACGAAAAAGTGAAATATTTAGTGAGTTTTGTCGGAGATATTCGCGATAGAGCAAATTAGAGATTAGTAATATAGTAACTATAAAGTGTAACTGGATTTAGTGGCTTAGTGTAGAACCTTAACACTTTATCAAGTTTAGGTTTTAATTTAGAATCTAAACACCTCAAGACGCACAGAACAGCACAAAAACAATGAATCAGCAGGAGAAATAAAACTGTGAAAAAGATAAAGATGAGGAAAATAAGGCAAAGGAACCAGGTCTGCTGCTAGCTTCCTTATAAAGGAACTAAAAGCATTTTAATACCCAGCAATACAGCTGATAACTTAGTACCCTCCAGAGCCATGTCTCCAGGGCAGTTTAGTAAGCATTATGGGGCGTAATATTATGTAATGGGGGATCTATTAGGAAACATACTGGAAGTATATTACGTTGCATGTTGTGACCCGTGCCTTAAATTAAAGACATTACCAGATTGTAAAGAGTTCATATCCAGTGACTAATTAGCTATGTTGTTATAACATATTGTGGAGCACTGGAGTTAAATTACAGTGAGCCTAGACTATTACCATCTTATATCTGTTAAAATTAAGTTAGTGTAATTTTACTCGGGGATATCAACTGGTTGTATTAGATTCCCAGACAGGGGATGACAATAATTCAATATTCTGTCAATTTGGAAGGTTTGGCTGATGAAGTTTAAATGAGTGACAGCAAAAAAAATGTGCGATACGTTTAATGGAATCAACTCAGACGACCCTGACACAGATATCAGGAAGATAAAAAATCTTTTAGTACTAAAAAACAAAAAACAAAATCTTTTAGTACTAAAAACACCTACTCTGAAAGTGCTCTGATCGAGCTTTAACGGTTTGATAAACATGGTCGAAGTAAGCTCTGCTGGTAGCTGTGTACTCTCTTTTTACTCGTTTTGAGAAAGATCGCTCCATATCGGCAGAGCAACATCCTTTAGTCACGCTACAAATTCCACCTGTGAATTGACGGTGTTGACTGATTTGTGGAGAAATATTACTATCGGCATATTAAACTGAACAAGGGTTTATTTTCGACGGAACTGCATCTCATTTTCACGCATAATTTCTGAGAACTATTCTCCGAAAGTTGGATACAGACTTTTGGGCCATCTCGAATAATTTGTCGGCATTAAATAAAATAACACAGGAAAAAAAGCAACGACAAAGCAGACATCAATTAAATCGAGGAGACGAATGTAACCTGGTTGAAGAGAGTATGGGACATCATTTGAGTTTCCAATATCCATAGTAGAATACTGCTGACGAACGGTGGTGCAAGAATCACTGTAGGACTCGACAAAATAGCGGTTATTGATCAAAAGGAAAACTATCGGCAAGAACATTGTTTGTTAAGATCATATTTGTGATAGAGTGGCCCGGACGTATGGAGATATAGTGCGGGCAGCTCCTTCCAAACTAATGACATGAAAAGTAATCCAATAGTACAACATTCCAACAATAATACTTCATGCGTGATGCGAGCAGTCGCAGCTTGCGTTGCTAGCGCTCGATTTCACTTTTCCTTGTCAAACGCGTGAGTATGACCGCGCTGAACATAACGCAGTATCGCGCGGCTTAAACGATTTATGATTATTGTGCCATGATGAAACTTTATTCAATTAGTTCCCCAAATAAATATTACACAAGAAATAACCTTGAATGTTTCAACCATCAATTTTTCTGCTATTCGATTTTAATTGTTGTAAGAACAAAGAATGGTCATTTGTGATTTTATTATTTATTTAATAGTCCCAGCTTTTTATTTCGCTATAATATAATATAATAAATACAAAATATGCAAGTTTTAACATTTAAAACATGTAAACAGGAAGGTAATGATTATAAACATAAACAATCAAATTATAAAAATGATCGCATACTGCACTGTAATTTTTCAATTGCACAATAACTATAAATGTTGTTAATTATTTATGTAATATTAAAATCATATTTGATATAGTTAGCTTAATAAAATGTCATTCATTGGCTTTTAGCATGAGCAGCAAGTAAACATGGAAAAATTTTTGGCACGCCGACCCAATTAAACGCGGCAATTTTAAAAGCTTTTTTTACACGAAGAGCTAGCTGAGAAACAAAAAATTGGCAAACTTGGCTCAGCCTTATTTAGCTCGTTATTTTTTAATGCTGTGTTCCTTTCAAAAAGTTCATGTTTGAAAAAAGCGCATATGGCCGGATAGAGACGCGAAACTAATTAACGCTTAGCCTATCATTTTGCCATATTTTGTATTTTCAATTGTGTTATGCATGTTTACGTTTTATATGAATCATGTTTTATGGATAACAATTATGTAAGTAGTAATGTATGTGCTGATTTGGCTGCAAAAAATATCTATTCTGCACAGTTGTCACGTGGTGTAAAAGAGAGCCTCTGATTGGTCATTAAGGCAGTGTCACGTGATTTATATTGCTGCAAAAATATCTATTCTGCACAGTTGTCACGTGGTGTAAAAGAGAGCCTCTGATTGGTCATTAAGGCAGTGTCACGTGATTTATATTCGTTTTTGTGAATCTGGTTGGCTAGTTGGCGTTGTCACGTGATCACAGGTAGTCGACCACAGGTGGTCGAACTACAGATTACCATTTATGGTATAACAAGGGAACATTGCCTTCTAATATGGAGTAGGGTTTCTATCGAGTCACGTGATCAAGGTTAAGACCAATCAGCGTAAAATATCAAAGGATGTAAACATCAGTTTTACACAAAGACAAAAATAGAATGAAACTACAGCTTCCAATTACAAATTTACATATACTGTACACAAAACCGATGTGAGATACATCAAATGTCTAAAAAAGTGGTACTGATGCCGTCATCAAGTATCTTCCTTTTACAGTAAAAGTAGCTCAAGCCCTTTCTTTCCATTCGATAGCTCAACATGGTGTTGTTCTTGACTATGAAGCCTCTGTTTGTTGAGCTGACACTTTGCTTCGTTTGCAGAACTGAACGGAAATGCTCTATAGTGACCTGAGCTGCCTTGTTGATGCCTTTTGTCGAACACTTCTCTTTCTGTTTGGCATCAGGTTCGAAACAGAAATAGGTTTTAGCCGAAAGTCCAACAAAGCCACCTCCGCTCCACTCTACTTTGAATAACCCTGAAAGTAAACGACAATTATACTACCGACGCGACACCAACCGCAGAGAATATTGAGATACATTTTGTATACAATAATGAATAACCCTCGCGAAACTTTCAAGATAAAATCAAAGTGACATTAAACTTGTCAAAATAATAATAAAGTTAAACAACACAGCAGACCACTCACCTGGCGTCCTCCTATCGTAAGCCGCGTGTTCTTCGGTATCTGTACGAGGAAACCACTGCAACTTTATCTGAGCCCAATCTTGCCTGAGCTCAGGTTTTATGAGCTCATCCAGCGTGTCAGCTGCAAGTGCCATGTACAGCGAGTCTGAAAATTCGAAAACGATCAGTACGAAGAATTTATTGTATTTACAGCAAAATGGAACGTGCGTGCGCGCGCGCGCGCGCATTACACGACTTTAGCGCGAAGAATACTACAAAAAATAATTTTGCGTCAGCGCACAAAATGAACAGAAGACCGTATTTCAGGTTTTAGCCAATGTCACAGTTTTGATCGTTTTGTACGGAATGTATCGATTAGATTATAGATTATTTGAACTTACCCGTATCCATCTCACAAAGAGAGAAGTACGGTCGAGGGATGTAACTCACGAGCACATCAAAGTAAAAAGAGAGCATTCTTAACTTTGCATAGGAGTAAACGAAAAAACCAATCTGGATAGGAAGATTGTGACGTATACTCTTCTTTCTCGATGTTACCTATAGAAGACACTATTAGGACTACATTCATATGAAATCGATGAAATCAACCATGAGGATTCAAACTGCAGATCACAGTAAATGTAGGCAACAATAATTACGGTAAGACAAATTAAAATTACCTCGTAGCAGTTATCTGAAAGCTCATCCAAGGCGGAGAAGCGGGGGCCGTTAATGAGATCTGCGGCAGTCAGTTGCCGCACTCAGAGCCTTCATCGACCTAGACGGTTTTATGTATTTCTCATGACGCACATACAGCTCCCGATAATCCTCCTCGATCACAAAATCTGGCACTACAAATGAGTCTTCAGCCGTCGATCCCCAAGCAGCACCGATGTGGCGAGATTCCCTCGCATGAGTTGTTCCGTGTTCGATATGATTTAGGAAAGGGTATGACATATGACAGATGTTACAGTTGACTATTTGGCAGCTTTGGGACGCTTGATGAGCCTCCAAGGCCGACGAGCAAGTAATGGTTATAGCCGCCCCACATTTAGGGCAAGTTTCACGATGTCTCTTACTGAACCGGGAGCTGGACCTGTCCTGGAAAATAGATAGAAACTTCAACACTGTGTAGGCTTCATCAAAAAGATTTTTAGTCGCCTATACCTCAAGCAACACTGCGAATTTATATATACGTCTTTAGATGTCACACAAAATCAACCCACACAAAAATAAAGAAAAATATGTCTAAAGTAGAATCTCACTTACAGATGGGTTCATGATTACTTGATTGTAATGTAGAAGATTGACGAGGAGTTAAACGGGAATAGTGTCCAACAGATGAGAGTCAGCAGTTTAACAAAAAGCTATAGCACAATGCAGAGCTCCGAACGATCTTGAATTTATAAAGCTATGTCGCACTATTGTCTATTATATACACAGCACATCTGCTGCACACAATAAACTCGCTATATTTTATTTAACAAGTCTAAATGTTTAGATCTGTAAAGTGAGGGAGTGGTCTGCTCCACTTTTCAAAGGCTCTGACGTCATTTTATTTAAATGAATGTTTAGATCTGGAAAGTGAGGCCACTCCCTCAGGGAGGGGCCTGCTAAACTATCTCATCCGATTATTGGTCAAGATTGAGGAACGTTAGAAAGACACCTGGCGTCAGCAAACCGAGTACACTCAGCTATTAAAAATAGTGTGCTCTAAACTTCAAAATATCAACTACAAGTTACATTACCACGAGAATACACGTAGCAGCGGTAAAAAGCTATGTGATATTATATTCATAGTGTAAACTTACTTTGCCAGTTATTAGTGGACCTGCAGCTAGTGCTGTACATTGTAGACACTAGACGAGCAATAATCACACTGTTCAACTCTAGGTCTCTCAGTTTACAGATCTTACAAGGTGAACAGTACAAAAAGCATCTTGATAAGGGTTACATGGATCGGTGTCCACCAGTAATTTAATTTATGTGACTCGGATTAGTTTTAGCTGACGGTATGAGTACAACATATCTCAGAATTTTTTGTTATTATGATAATTTTGATGTAGATTGTTTTGAACTCATTTGTTTTTTGTTTTGCAATAAAAGACTCGTATAGATTTTCAAATAATTCAACTATTCTACATACTAATTGACACTGAAAGAAATGCTTTTCAAGATTCAACGTCACCGAATTTCGTCTAAATAATTTGAAACAAGCTTATCATTTTCCGCTAAATGTACACTAAATACAGACAGACAGGATTTAAAACTACGCTTGCTCAGCTCTCTAATGAAATAAACACAATAAGCACCGCAAGCGTTTGAAGTTAAACGCTGCAACCACTTTCTGTTACGTGAGATAGTCTCATCCCCGATGTAACTTTTTATTGCTATGGTAAAATTAGCTTCAAAAGTAGCGTCGTTGTAATTTCGCCCATAACTGTCGATAAAGTAAATCCTCCCGTGTTTGCGCTGTAACACCAGCCAGTGGTCACCAGGTGACGACGAATTACCAGTATTAACCACCAAACTAAAATCTTCATCAAGTTTTGGTGGTAAAATGTCGTACGCAAAAGCGCCCCGAAAATGACTGACGTCAGCTAATGTTTTGTCAATCTCTAGCGTATCCATATGGTAAGTTACATCAATGACAGATTCATTGCTTATATACCATAAATGGAGGCTTATATCACGATTACCTGACGATCGTTTGTCACCTCTATAATTTCATCATACCAGGCTAAAACCATCAAAACCCTCCCTGCTGGAGCGGCTTCTGGGAACTCTAGCTGGAGTCGCACAGTTCCGCTTCTTTGTAAATTCAGGGCTTTCTGATTCCCGCCACTAGCGTCTTGACTCAAATCAATGAATTGGGCTGGATACGCTCCATAATAATGCTGTAGAAGATTATCACCGCTATTAATATATCCGGATTGATTGAGAAAAGCGTCCCACATGTATGTGTAGTCGTCGTTTCCTATACGTTCAACGTTACGTGGAAAATGTTCACGCCCATTAACGTATACCTGCAGTGACTTTAGGGGATGTAATGAGAATGCGTTTTTGGAGCGAGTTTTCCCAAAACTCGCACGATCCTGGACACCAATTAAAAAAGAGTGTGGTAGTGTTGAGCCAAATATCGATGATACAGTCAGATCCGCTGCTCCTTCTGGAATAGAATGAAAACTCAAAACGCTCTTGTCGGTATGATAAATGGCATTTTCTTTTTTCAGCCTCTGTTCAATTATGTTTAAGACAGCGTCCTGTGGTCTCTGAAACGTGCAGCGTAACATTATTTTATCGAACTTCACTTTGTCTGTATGATTGTCGGGAGATAGGAGAATGAACTCTGAATAATTTTTGGTTAGTGTCACTTGCATCTCCAATTCTGACGGAAGTAGCTTGTCCTGTTTGAATATGCTAGCATCGAGGTCAGAAACTAGGCAGACCTTTTTACCTAGAGCTATGTTTTTAGCTCTATCTTGTCCACCACCATTCACAACAGCTGTATCTGCATCAGGGAAGAAAGCAACGTCTTCAGAATGAGCCTTAGTTTTAACAGTATCGATCCAGTATCCTTCTTTGGAGTGTAAATGAGGGTGACAACCCGATCGTGTGTTCAAAGTGGTTTCCCAGAACTTCGAAATAGCATAAGCATTATCGAATGATTGAACTAAGGAGGCGGATCCAGCAGTAATTTCAACATTCCTGTATAATGCAGCTGCCAAGTGCGGGAGAGTACTGACCGGATGATTTGCTGCAGGATTTGCGTCGGCCGCCGTCAAGACACGAATTTCACTCACAATTTGAACATTTTGCAGCATCATTTTTGACATTGCCGGAATTATAAACGTCAAAGTGTCAGAAGCTTCAATAGATGTTGTCGGAAAAATATCGATAGTCTTTGTTTCAACAATTCCAGTTTGTGTGTGAATTGTTTCCCAAAGGTGTAAATTTGAAGGCAGAGCCTCCACAGATTTAACATATTTGGTCATCGTGCTGTTAGTGTTGAGTCAAGAATGAGAGCCAGCTTACAACTGGCTTTATATAGCCTAGGAGAGCGTCCCGTATTTCGGTTTTTTGGCGTTTTTGTTGATCTTATCTGTGGAGATGGCATTTCCCAATTTCCTGACTCCGTAATTTGCTCCTTTTTCGATACCCTTAACTGCTAATTTTTGAAGCTCTGGTTTGGCTAATTCGATGCCACTTCTTAAAAGTGACTTACCTATTGGCACGACTTGTTTAAACATCTTTTTCAGAAAACCGCCGATTCCGAACCCGGTCTGATTATTAAAATGATAGACTCCCAAGTCGTTATTCAAAGCGTTTTTGAAAGCTTGCTCCGATGAGCGGTTTGGTGTATAAGTTTGACGCATTCTGTCAGGACAGTTCAATAATTAATTGCAAATGAAATGTTCACCTACTTATATAGCTACGAATCAACAATTAGAATTGAGGTTTTCTAATGTGTAAGTTTAAGATAGTGGGATAGTCCACATTCGTAATTGAATCACAAACAGATCCGCATCCCGATGAATGGTCAAATTTGACGTCCTCACCATTTTGGTCTGTGATAATGAAACTCAGGTCTGTGAAAGAACTTACGGAAAGTGGCTTGTAGCTTGGATTCTGAAATTCGTGGAAGCTGTACCCCTTTTTGGATCGTAACGGAATACAGGTCATCAATCTCGCAAATGTATTATTGATTATGGAATCTTTCACCACGCTCGAATAAAGGAGACCACATACGACTGTGGTTTTCAGTGGGTAATCGTCAACTTCAATCTTATTCTTGTCAGCTGTATCTTTATAACACCCAAAGATTTCAAAGAGAGGAGATTTTTCATCAAATGAGAAATTTTCTGTTCTCTGGGACAACTTCAAAATATTCCGACCATTCAAATCGATCTCAAAAGTTGGAGGATCCTTTAAATTTGATCTTTTTCCATCATAATCGCCATCAAAAGTTCGATTCATTACTTTGTAGGCGGCCCTTAAAATTTCGCATGATCTATCATAAAAGCCATTTGGAATTTCGAAAAGTGAGATTTTTCCACCTTTGATGACTGCAAAACTGTTATTTTTTTCTGTTACATTGAATATTGGCGCATGGTATATGCTTTTGACGGCAATTTCATATCCATCTGTGAGATTGATTACGCTATTGAAGCTTGAAGAAAATCTACTCGGGGAGTCTCCGCTTGTCACGGTGATGTACTGCTCCATTTTTTCGAATAATAGGTTTTGAGGTTTGATTTGGTTTATTTATAGAGCCCGTAGTCTGTATTTTAGAGTCTACTCTCTTAATTTTAGATCCTAATCTCTTTACATTAGAAGCAGTGCGTTTTTTAGACTTTGATTTTTTCACATTAATCTTATCTTTCTGAACAAGTCGGTCTGGGACGTCAATGCTTTTCCTGATAGACGGTTGATCTGCTGAAACCAATAGAAATCTCATAATATTGCCGGGATAAGAGGCAGCACCGTCTTCAATATAGTTTGAAATATTGAGCCGCCTTTTTGTACCTTGGTATTTATAGATTTGTTGGTACCCTTAGCCAGTGACTTGATGAATTTTCGGTGAGGTTTTAGTTTCTTTACGTGTTTTTTCTCAAGTCGTAAAGTTCCATTTAAAATGTATCGACATAAAGCCTTGATTGCTTTATGCATATCCGGGGTGTTTTTTAGAATAATGACGGCATTGTTTCTTTTAGCTTTTGACAGCATCTTTAAT